CATACCGCTAGACCATCAGGCCGGACACTAGATCCTAGTCATTTGTTAGTGTCATTCGTGCAATTTTCAATATATATAGCCTGATACTCTATCGTGTTCAATGTTCGAACGCATCTGATCCAAAGAGTTGGCGGTACCCGAGAGCATTCGATGGCTTATTCAGTGCGGGAGGATTGTGGCTCTCATTGGTGCTCGGCTAGGGGCATTTTGACGAGCTAATCTGGCAGTGACACAAGTCTGCCTGATTAACAGAACCGAGGGGAAAGCTGTGGAGCTATCCATCTGACAATACATTGAGAAACTGGCCATTGATGTATTCATCACAATACAATGTCCTCACTTTCATAGTATAATCATTTTGAAGCAAGCATGGTATTCATCAAATAGCTATAGTATCACCTCCAAAACGCCTCGCTAGTTATGGCCCCATATCGGCCCAGTCTGATCGACCCTTGAATCTTAAAAATACAAACCCCAACATCTACTCCTCAGCAATATCAGTAGTGCTTTCTGTGCTCATGCCTGAGGACCTTCTCAGCTTGATTCGAATAGAATTCCGCGGTTTGGGTTTCTTCACTGGATGAGAGCTCTATTTCTCAGGCTCCAGATGAGACCACTCGGGAATGGCTTTGATCTGCTGCCACATAAACTTCTCAAGTTTGTTGGCCGACTTTGCGTACGGCGTGCTCTCGTTATTGTACTTCCGGCAATTGTCGAAGACCAACTTGGCATCCTTGATGAAATCTTCAGGTGTGAGGTATTGGTCGGCCTCTAGCTTACTCTCCATAGTGCTCAGATCCATGGGCTCCTTGATCACCTCGTAGTAATCAGCGACGTCGTCCCTATTGACGGGTACCAGGAACGGCCATGCTGAATTATGGTTCTGGAGATCGTTCAATAGATGAAGAAGCTGGTTGTAGTTGGGTCCATGGCGAGGTTGGCGGGCGAGTTCGTCCATGTCTGGTGACCATCCCGACGCTCGAATGGCCGGAATGTCAAGAGGGTTAATTTCTTTGATTCCGTTCTTCCAATCCTTCGGAGGGGCATGGATGTTATGGGATTTCGAGTAAGCTCGAATCTTTGCTTGGACGCATTCTTTCTGCTTAAGGAGCATACGTCCCATCTCAAGATAACGGATCCGTGGCAGCATAGAACACTGCATGATCGTACCACCTTCGTAATCCTTGATGTAACCCATCCATACCTTCTTGTCGAGGGTAATCTCTTTGGTGAAGCCCTGCTTCTTGAAGTAGCCAATCGCATAGTTGTCGGCATACGTCAAGAAATGCATCACATCGCTCGTCGCTTTAACGTAGTCTTTCAAGTGAGACATGAGATGGGCACCGTATCCTTTGACTTGCTGGTCAGAACTAATGGCACAGAAGACGATTTCGGCGAAACGGCGTCCCTTGAATGGTCGATATGTGATTCCTCCCACAACTTCGAGCGGCTTCTTGACGATGGCGATGGACAAATGAGTTCGGTCGTAGACAAGTCGCGCAATATAATCCTTAGGCATTTTTGGGAGTTGTTTTTGAAAGATACATTTTAGTCCGGTTAAGATGATGAGTGCTTCGCGTTCATTGTCGTTGTTGACTACTCGGAATTCGATCTCGCCATTGCGCTCTTCGATGACAGCAGGCTAGAAGTTCTTGTTAGAATATATGCGCATGTATTCCTTTGCTTATATTTACCTTTTCAGGGAATGGGATCCTCTTGATTTCTGGCTTCTTTTCTGGTGGTTCGGCGGAGTCATCTTGCTTAATGCGCTTCGATGGGGTAGGAGACGAGGGCTCCTCCTCAGCTTTGCGCTTCCCGTCTGGAATCACTTGTTAGTACTTCCGTCCTGATCGCGGTCGCATAGAGGGTAGGACTCACTCTCTTCTGACATGATTAACGTGGGCACAACCCCAGGTTGTTGTGTTCGGATAGGATTAATGTAGGGAGAAGTTAAGGTATGATAGGATGCAGCATCATGATAGCGGAGTGAAGCGCGTCGAGATCGTCCGTGCACTGCTTATGTCATTCGATGTGGGTCCTAAATTGAGGGAAGGAGGGACAGGGGCACCCGTGCACTAAACCTATTATGTGTATCGGCCACGATGCGCCATCGTAAGCTCATGAAGCTTCCCCAGAGCATCTCTTCCATCAACAGCAGCTACCAAAGTTGACAGTTTGCCAGCAACTTTCCCCCGCAAAACGTTCAATTCTTTTTTGAAGGAATTCCAAACAAAAACCCGATCACAACTTCAGTTTCCTCCCCAACGAAGCCTATGGATTCTTCGCTGCATGAGGTCTGGCAAGCTGCTGCTGGCAGTCCCTTCTTTCCTACCGTGAATAAGGACACCCAGTTCACGTTGGCCTTTGCCTTGCTGTTTGTCGGCTTCTTCCTCGCTGGTGTCTTTGCCCTGAGTATGCGTCATCGACTCTCGCTCTATTTCTTCTTGCTGATCATTTTTAGACCGCACTTTCATCAACGTTCCCCTACTAGGTGTTCCGGCTTCCCTCGCTATTGCGTACGTTTCCTCTCGACCGTCAATTGCCGCCTCAAAATACTTACTTCAGCAGGTTCGGAGTCGTTTACATGTTCTGTGGAGTCGGAGTCTACGTCTAAGATACCCAAAAAGTCCTCATTTCGGTCGATTTCGTGTAAAATAGTTGGAGCAATCAAGAGAAGACGCTACTTCGCGCGCCAATTGCCTTTCTGCCTGTTTTTGAACCTTTCATTCACGCACCTTTCCCAAACAACCACAGCCGCAACCTCGATATGTCTGCAGAAACCCAACCTATTTTCCGCGCGGTCGCGACTTCGACCAGACCACTGTATCAACTTTTGAGGTGCATCAACTTTGCACCCAGGGTTCATGTTCAAATTACAGAGGACGGCGTTCGTTTCGCTTCCGATCATGCGCGGGTGATGCAGGGTGAGTTTTGCTAGAGGTATGAGAATGGACAAAACTGATAGCCAGTAGGTGTTGCGTTTCTCGACAAATCTCTCTTTTCTTCTTATACGGCCAATGTACCCGCTCAGGACACCGAAGACGCACCTGAGCTTCCTAATTTCCAACTTTCCTTGTCGTCCGTACTTGAGGTACTCCAGATTTTTGGAGCCGTAGATGTGGCCACTCGCGCTCAAAAAGCAGAGCAAGATCCGTACCGCAGCAATCTCCGGAACTATCGCCCTGATGCATTCAGCAACCAAACCCTTGGTATTTCTGGCACTTGCACTCTCCTGTACGCCGAAGAAGGGGACCCTTTTAAGATCACCATCGAGGAATCTGGCGTGAAGACAACTGCATCTCTGACCACCTACTTACCAGAGATACCTGACGACATTCCTTTTGACCGCACTGATCTGACTTTCAAAATCATCATGCAATCTCGAACTTTGCTCGATTCTCTCGCGGAGATTTCTCCAACAGCGCCTCTGAGATTGACGATAACGGCCACTAAAAGCTCGCCTTTTCTATCAATCGCTGGTGTGGGAGATCTAGGAAGTTCGGGCGTGGATTTTGCACGAGGAAGGGAACTTCTTGAGACGTTTACCATTCAAGACCGTTGGTCACAGTCCTATAAGTTCGATTTTATCAAGAATTCGACAGAAGCGATGCGAATCGCCAGCAAAGTCAGCTTACGAGGTGATTCACAGGGTGTTCTGAGTCTGCAGTTCATGGTGAATGTAGAGGGTGGCAAGCAAAGCTTTTTGGACTTTCGATTTGTGCCATTTCTGCAGAACGAGGACGACGATGAAGCTGACTGAGTGTATCGGACTGGATCATGTTTACCATAAAACTACGATAATCTAAAGATAATGTCTCTTGCCCAACCTTTCAATATCTCGCGTGCTTCCTGGATTTATGTCTAACGGCTCTTGGCAAGCTTGATTAATGGTTTCGTATTAAAACCATGCCTTAGGTCCCCTCGGTCTGGTGCTCCCTTGATCCGTCAACGGAATGTAAGCCCTTGCAATCTGGAACACCCCACCTAGAAGTCATCACGATCGGAATGATGGACCCAGCCTCTTCTCACATCACTGCATCCATCAGAAAGTCGAGCCCAGATGGTAATTGAAAAGGGACACGATGCCGTCTTGACCTTTTGATCCTGTCCTTCACCACAACCATATTCTAAAACACACTGCTGAGCAGAGTGGCTATTACCCAACATGAACCAATATCGAGAGATCAAAATCGCCATGTCGTCAAGACCTACCACAGCTAGCACAGTTATTGAAAAGCCCAACAGGAAGGCTGTCTGGCCTAGCTGTCTCTTCAACTTCAACCCTATCAAGACTTGGGCCACAACCATGTTCGGAAACAAACCTGCATACGTCGAGCTGGACGACGACTCTGAGCCGTTGCTGGATGACATGCGAGCACCCAGACCTGCAAATGTTGTTTCGAGTTACATGCGCCGGGCCGCTTCACGAACGATTAGGAAATACAACCGGCTGCCATGAGTTTCGGCCATACGATGGAAAGATGGAAGATCCGAGCACACGGCGGGCCTGTTTGATGCTATGGGATTTATAAAAGAATTATGGATTTACATATGATATGAGTTATGACAAAAGTACACAAAAGGGAGTTCAGGATGATGGAGTTATGGGCACAGAAACTTGTCTTATATGCGCACGATATTTCGACTTACGGTTATTTATCAGATATTTTTAAACGTTGATCTACGTCTAAGCAAAAATGTGCCTTCTAATGATCTGAGAAGTTCAGTAACAAGAAAAGCAAGTTTGAAGGAAAAGTGTGAACTCAGGTAGGTCCAAGGCAAAGAAAGACTGTATTGGCAGGTGCAGGCGGAGCAGGGGACTTACAATCACAAGCAGGTGTGATCCTTCCTTCCTCTTCGAATAGGTAGACAATCTTCCATTTCAACTGCGTCACCTCCACTGCCAATCGCACATCTTGTCTCCTACACCTTGAATCAATTTTTCTAGAAGAGCTATTGGATACAAGTTCTGCATTGACTGATCTTCACCGCCGCCCTGTCGACAACTTGTTTCATGTTGAGGCAACCATCTGGTCAATCCTCCATGCAAGAAACCGCATCTTACCGCTCGATTATTGCGAGAAGAGAATAAAGTATTGTCAATGCACGCGGGGAGTTCTCTTTCCCGTTCCGCTTCCGATGATCAGCAACAAGGCCGATAGATTAATCGTTCGTCGACAAGGCATCTTGCCATAACCTTCCAAGGCACCAACAACCATTGTGCACGCTCTCGATCTACCGCTCCGTTCATCTCAGGGCTCACCTTTCAGGTCACGATGCAGCGCTCCGAACTCTGGGGGCTGCCATACAGAAAGTTCTGCAAGCCATATGCAGGCTGACAGAGGCATCTGTTTCTATTGCTGCATCATTCCGTTCCGCCTGATCCCCGATGCTGCGATACTACCAGGCTGCATAGGCCTTCGGACGTCAAGACGACCTTCTACCAACGGATAACAGCTTTAACATGTTGCACGGGCCTTTCTCCCGGGTCAACCTATCCAATCAATGTCCCTCCGGATAGAATCGAGAGTTCGAACCAACTAAATGATACGTTTAAGTGGTTGGTAAGTGTCGCACAAAGCTGAATACGATGACCAGGCCTCGACATTCAAAGCAAGACATCTTGATTCTTGCAGGCCTGGAATAGCAGCCCTGAATAGAACCTGTTACTGCCAATCGGCGACCAATCAGCGCAACATAATCCTTCTAGTACATTGCCTATTGCTAGAGAAATGCTTGCTTGCAGCTTGGGATGCATATCGCTCCACAACACCATAGTCAAGCATGGCTTTCCAGACCCAAGGAGGATCACAGGAGCCCCCCAGGAATGATTCCCCTGGGTTCGTTACACCGTCTTCGTACTCGATTATATATCACTGAATCAATTCCGCGATATTATCATTACTCACTTGTTTGCAGACCAAAATTGTTCGAGACTTCCGCATTCGGGTCCGTTGAACTTTGGATCCATCTAACGAAGCCTCTACCGGCGATTAGGAATGACAACGTTCCCACCGGAGAGAAAACATATACTTGACGCCTTTTCTCGATAAACTCTCTTCTCAACGCACTTCATTCATTCTTCTTTCTTCTCTAAGATATGCGAAACATTTTTTCGCTTTCTTTTCGTTTCATCTTTTGTTACGCCGGGCGTTCTGCTGGCCAGTTACAATGCCTGGCTTGATTCGGCGACTTATAACTCCTCAACGGTCAAAGCCCAGTACTCGAGATCGGGTACAGGATCAAGATCGCAATCATGCGCCCAATGATGAACTTACCGATTCATGCGAGGACTTAAGTTCTTGCTGCGCCAAGAAGTCTACACAAAAGAGGACCAACAGCACAAAGCCGCGAGTGTCACGGCTTCCTGTGCCAAAGAAAAGCTCGGCAATAGCGACGCCTGTTACTATTCAAAGAGTGCCAGACGTTCAACGTATTACGCATCCAGTCCCGGTCCATGCTTTGCCAACCCCTCAATTGAGAGCTCCTTCGATCAGCTCTTCCTGCTTTGAGGGACGAAATGCAGCCCTTGAGGCTCTCACAGGCAGTGAGCCCACCAACAGAAGGCCTGCACATGTTCTTTGTCCTGTTGAGCACGGGCAAGCCCACCCACATTCCTACCACCACTTTCATTCCTCCCAATCCTCTCAGTACATGCGCCCCCCTCGCTCTAGACACGGCCACTCTAGCTCTGTCAATGACAATAGCTCGTACCGTGAGAGGATCTCGCCCGAGGCGTCGATTCTTTCTTTGTCGGACCATGGCGCTGGTGGTTACGATGTCGAGCCAACCAGCCGGCCGCTTGACCAGCCCATGTATGACGGTCAAAGCCTTGGCTCGTCATCAGACAGTGTTGACCGTCTATTTCGTGAGACCGATGAAGCATTCAAAGCTCTAGGGTCTGCACTTAGAGAGACGCAGCGCGCATCACAGATATCTGTTTTACCATCACCACCATCACCACCTGGAATACCTACTACATATCACAAGCATTCCAAATCCATGCCTTTGCCTGCGGGCTTCCAGAAACATGGGAGATTGAGAGGCGAGGAATCGTCCTCGATCTCCTCCCAAAGGTCATCTCCAGACAGACGGACATCGGTGGTCAAGAAGCCCCAAAGAAAGAAGCAGAGTTTCGTTGGGCAGTCATTTTCCAGGGCAGCGATCCGTACTCCACGATGGACTTTATCGGAGAACGTGACAGACATCCTAACAGGCCAGCGTTTCCGGCGCATCGAAGCTGATGAGATGCTGACACCCGACCGCATCGAAGCGGTGCGCAAGAAACGAGAAGCGGCGCAACAATTAGACGAGGAACGTGCTGAGGAGCGTGCCAAAGAGCGATGCTCAATCGACTCGATCCGGAGTGTGACTTCAGATAACTCCGAGACAGACGTCGAACCATTTCATCTTGACGAACTCGCATCTCGAATTAGAGCGAGACAAGCTGCGGAGAACATGTCCATTCCGGTCGAAGCAACGCCTCCAGCTCCAGAGCTGACCCCTGACCTGGAGTCTATTCCTCGAAACTTTTCGAAGCCTATGTCTGTGGTCGGAGACGATGAATACATCAGAAGTGGACAGGAGAAAAGCGAGGCTTCACCGAATGCTTCACCGAATGCTTCACCTCAGATGCCAACCAGGAATCCAGCGCGTGTCGGTACAGAGGCTGTAGAAATACTGCCAGCGATTCCAGAGGTTGTGGGAACAGCGGCAGCCAAGTCACAACCCGAACCGTCGATTGATGCACCAGCCTCTGCGACTCCCAACCTGAATATGGAGGAGACGGATGAATACTTTTACTTGAAGAGTACACCCTATACTCTCACCAAGCCTTCTTTCCGCCATGGACCTATCACCCTCGCCAAAGCTGAGGTGGGCAAAGGGGTCAAGACAATGGACGATACACTAGACTGGACAGCATTCCAGATGGCGATTTTAGGAGGAGCCGGAGATTTCTTCCAAGACATGTCCATCGACGAGGACACGAAGCAGGTGGAAGAAATCACGTCATGGTTTGACACGTTTGGCTTCGAGACATATGGGGTGCTGATCGGAGACGTGCCTGAGCCAGAACCTGAGCCTGAGCCAGCGCATTCGCATACGCATGTTCCATCGCTGCGATCGTCTTCTCATAGCACCTACTCGTCAACACCTTCAACCATCGACACGGACATTGACCTGCCGATCCCGGTGGGTGCTGAGTTCCCTTCCGGGTTCTGGAACGCCCCGGCGCCCGGTCAGGCTCTGGACAAAGCTAAGTTCTTTAACAGTACAGGACTCAAACGATGGGTTGGCGAAGGACGTCCCAAACGCCCGACTTCGCACGAGGAGGAGGGAGAGGGAAGCCTACCGCCGAGTCCGATGATGCCTCTCGTGGTTCATATGAGCGATGGCGACGCCGATTTTCCGGATACGGTACCGATGGGTTATAACCTGCATCACGATTTAGGTGACTTTTTGAGATGGGAGGCGGAGAATGTGTATGCATCTGGGTTTAGCATGTCACCTTGAAGATGACTTGCGTTCATTCTTTTGATCTTGGCTGATACCATGGGTTTGCATTTGAGAATTGGGATGCTGATATATCCCCTGCATGAGATTTCACTTCTTTACTTACCACGTTATACCTAGGCATTGAAGGCGCTTGAAGCATTTACCTACCTAATATAGAACGATCACGACGTTGATACGAAGTATCACGCAGATAGATGAACTAAAAGAATTGATATTTGTTTGAGATGGTATTTGAGATGGTATTTGAGATGCTCCAGATGTTGACAGTGATAAAACGAAGTTAGGGGATGGACCACTAAACCAATCAACATTATTACTGCTACTCATGACAACCCCACATTGTTTACATCTCACCTTGGCTTCATTCTACCATTGCACATCTCAATCATAACCTCAATATAAGAAACGAAACAAGATTAAACGAAAAGCGACTAAACAAGAATCATCATCTACTCGCTTATCGTCAAACTGCCTTTGATTCTATTTTCATAAAAATCGGCCCTTCTACCAAACCAGTCACACCGCACTCTCATCACAACAAAAGCCCTTTGTCAACCCATCTCAAAGACAAACTCCCCACCAGCAAAAATGCTCCGACGTCCCGCAACTACACTGCACATCACCTCAGAAGACGTCGCATCTTACGAGGACCGACGCGCCCGCGAGGCCCTTGTCGCAGCGCAGCAAGCCCGAAGAGCTGCCGCTGTAGCTGCTGCGCAGCAGAGTCAGGCGGATATGGAGGGCGTGCATCAGGCGCTTCAGGAGAGGGAGAGGGATGATGATCTGAGAAGGGCTAGAGAGGACAGAATTGGTGTTTCGAGAAGACGTTGATGGAGGATGGTCACTGTATGATTTTTTACGACAATGGGTCTGTTTTGTTTGATGGGATTCATCTATTCATTCTTATTACTTTTATAGTTCTTTTGATACATATAAAAATGCTCTGCGTGAGCTACGTCAACTATTAAGCAAAATGCGACTTTTTCCCAAAAGCCCATGCGACATATTATATACAGAAAGCAATGACTCCTCTTCTATCCTTTCCATGCAAGATATGCGAAAAATGAAAGTACCATCCAAACTACACGCCATGATGTAGTCCATAATTCTCGACCGATTACTCCAAGAGCTTTCTTACCACCAATACGTTTATCCTGAACGCCTGGAGTGTAGAGATTGTCGTCAAGGTTAATACGTGGTCCGCCAGCAGACCCCCAGCCCCAGCGCTTGTCGGTACGTCGGGCCTGCCATCGTCCTGATGTCTGGCCAGGAGATGCACTTCGCCCGTTGCGTGGTGCTGCGGCTGATAGGCGTGAGGGAAGATGGTGCGCTGAAGTGCCGGAGGATGTTGTGTTGCGGTATGATGAAGCCTCGGGAGGGTCCATTTTGTCCTTGTATACAGGCAAAACGCTTGAGGCTGATGATTTCTCGGGTTCGAGGGCGAAAGGGGTGAGTGAAAGTACAGGAACGAGCGCTGCGCGAACAGCGAGAAGAACGACTGTTGCCACGCCAAAGACGATATACTGCATATAAGTATGAATCTGGTTAGGCAGGAGACACATATGAGTCTGGATAGTCTGCTCTGGTGCTCCAGGCAGCGGCTTGCCCTTATCATCGACGGGATTCCACATGCTGGCCATGAGGAAACCAGGCGTGGGAACACCCATGGCCATACTCATACTCTTGACGGTGATTTCACGGACGTTCTCCTTAGCGTCGGAGTGTACGACCTCACAGTAATCGTGGTCATCACCTGAAAAGACATGCTTGATGTTCCCTATGCTCTTCACCAACTTGACTGAATCAAGCTCGTTCAGAACGTTCTGGTATTGATATCCACCAACAATGCTCAAAGCGTTTCGGTTGTCAGGGAATACAGGCTCCTTTTGGCCCTTGGGAGGTTTCGTCGGTGGCCAATGTTCTCGTTGAGGTCCGCAAGGTGTTCCAGGGGGTCGGTAAAGAGGAACATGAGTAAGAAGGATCGTAGGAAAGTCGGGACCATCGCCTTTCTGTGCTTCGACGCTGTTTCCCCAAGTAGGTTTCGATTTGTCCAGCTCCTCAACATTGTGAGGATATCGCAGACCCCCCTTGAGATCGTAATAGTGTCGCAGCTCCTCCTCGGCTGCCTTTCGCTTTAGTGCCTTGACATTATCCAGAAACTCGTTCACAGGACCGAAGATGGGCTTCAGATCATGCTTGTTCTTATACTCCGAGGTATCAGCGCTCAACGAGACTGAATCGACGGATACAAGGGTGTGGTTTCCGATAACGTCAACACGGTTGACATCGCCAAAGAATGCCTCGAAGCGATCTCGAACAGGCACTTGAACCTGCGCACCGAAACCCAAGTCGTGATTTCCAGGCAAACTGGCCACCAGCTTTCGTCCACGCTGCCAAGATCCAGGTACTTCGCCGCCATCGTTGAAATGCTCAAAGAAGATATCTCCGAATCGCTCGTACTCGTGCAACCAGAAATCCTCGCCGTACTTATTGTGCCACGACTCAACCAGTTTCTTCTCATCCTTGGAACGACCCCGTCCCCATTTTGGATCGACGAATTTACCCTCTCGAGTCTTCCACTCACGGCCACCATCGAATAGATCGCCGAGGAAGAATAAACTGTCTGGGTGTAGGCGGCCTTGCATCGCTCGGTAGCCACGTCGGAGGTAGTTGTCGGTTATCAGAACTGTTAAAGGGTTGAGAGGCCATGGTCGGCCAGGGTAGGAATGCGGATCGATGATTTGAGGATCGGCGACGAAGACGAGGTGGTGAGGTTTCGCATCTTTGGGCTGTACATCGTCAGTCTCTGTTCCCTCACATTTGGCTTTCTGAACATACCCATTTCTCCCAATGATCCCAATCGCAACTCGCGACCTTGCTATTGAACACCCATCTCTCCCCATACAACAGCACAAAGAACCAGAACAACGCCAACAGGTGAGGAAAGCTCAATAACCGTCTCGAAGTTAGGTTTCGCTGTAACCGTCGTACAACCCGTTCACCCGTCGCTATAGCTATGCGCTTTCCCGGACCAGCAGCCCATACTCTTAACTGGTACGCCGCTTGCTTTGCGTGGGCTGATAGTACAGGGCCTATTGACTGAAGGTTCCTTGGGATCGTCGAACTGGTACGATGCTGGAAAGGGCGCGACATGTTGGCGCCATGCCCCGAAAACCGCACACGAGAGGCTAATTGTTGAGAGGTCGCAGCGTATGTTCTTGCTGTGTCGTATTTCGTCCGGAAGAGTGTTGTGTAGTCTGCGTTGATCGACAGTTCAAGGGACAAGGAGACCCCTTGATGCGAATGACGATGTTTCAGTCAACAGCACTAGCGTCGTCTTGTGCCCTTTTTAATATCGGACCCTTATAATCGACAAATTCGCCGTCCAATGTCGCACAAAATTGGAATGTTTACAAGAAAAAAGAGAGACGTCGCGTGTTGGAGTTGAATTGCTCGTCTCCTCAAAAGAAACAAATACGTAGCTCTAAAGCTGTTGTGCCTCATGATTCGCCAACCTTTTTTCGGCGCCTGCAGGATGAATTTCTGGGGCCGGATTAGCGCTGAGAACCCCCGCTATTCAGGGGTTTTAGCGGGCGATAAAGCCGTATCGTTTCAGGGGCAGGACGGAATCTTTGCCGACGGACTAGTCTTGGCCTTCAAGTCGTCATGATCAAGTAAAAGTGAGCGAGTACAAAACTGAAGAGATCAAAACTCATCATTCATTCATATTTTGAGCCATAAAATTATACACGCCTGCTTTTTGCAACGGCCGTATGTACTAAAAACTAGATTTTGTCCAATAGAGAGCAAATATCTCTGAATATCTCCAAAACTCCATCTGAATGCCAAAGGCAAATGTCAAGATGCAAAACCATATGCAGAAATAAATCAAAAACACGCAGATAGTCCGTCTTGGACTTATCTTACACGATAAACATCAATGTCATCATCGTCATCTTCACTATAATCGTCATCCTCCGGTGGAGGAGGGTTGTTCCTAGCCTTTCTCCTGCTGCGGAAGCTGAGGAATCTCTTGATTCCACTTGGCTCCGCAGCGTCTGCGGCTCCAGCTTGGGCCATCTCTGGGTCCTGTTCAGGGACGGCTCCTGCGTCATTATCTTCCTCGTAGTCATAGAAGAGCTTTGGCACCAGCAGGCGGTATGGCTTGGTGATACCTGCAGGGTCCTTGGGGTTGATCTCAACGTTCAGGGTGATATCCAATCCACCCTCCAGATCAACGGCGTACTTGTCGGCCTGCTTCTTCTGCTTCACGGAAAGGCCAGTAGGTGTTCTGTAAAAGTTTCCAGGACGTGGCCCGGGTGGGACGTAACCGACAGCCTCTCGCGAGTGTGACATGGCTCGTCCTCCAACGGTTTGAGCTCGCTGAGGTGGTCGAGCCATGAAGTATGAGTCGTCGCCCTCGGTGTACTCATCATAGGCTGCACCGCCTCGAATACCTGAAGGACCAGGGCCCCCACGACGAGGAGACTGAGGCTCATCCCAGTACTGGTCATCATCATAATAGGGGTCAGGATAGGGGTCCTGGCCTTCCCATTCGCCGTTCATGCGATCATCTTCTTCAGCAGCAGCGCGACGCTGACTAGGTCGTCGAATAAAGCTGAAGAATCCAGCCTTCTTGCCTTCAGGAGCTTGGTCAACAGACATAGATCTCTGAAGCTTGGCAGGAGGAGGGCGCTCCGAGCTTGTTGAGTTACGTCGCGACAAGCTGCGGAACAAACCACCACCACCTCGTGTAACTGGAGGTCGAGATCCGCCGCGAACAGTCTCTCTGTTGAAGTCGGGGCGCGCATCGGAAGATGTAGACTTGCTTCTAGAAAGTGACAGTCTTCGGAGAAGGCCGCCCTGCTTAGGAGCAGGGCTTTCATCTCTCCCATCAGAAGATCCAGGAGGTGTCGGTGGTGGTGTGGTACCAGGCTGCCACTCGCGAATGGCGCACCAGTTCCGGTGAGGCAGAAGGTGCTTGTTGTTTCTTGGCTTGCCATCAACTCCTTGCTGGAAGAGGGGAATCATATCCTCATCGGTCTGCTTGTCGAAGTGGTGCACCTTGTTTCTTTTGTTCAGCACATCAGCCATCAGATCAGGAGGTGGTGTGTTAGCGATGGCCGATGAGATAATGTTGGGCATGTATCGCGGATCCTTGTGCTTGGCGAGACCAAGCTTGGGGTTGGAATAGAACTGTCCAACAGCCGCAAGATGGACGTCACCACTGAGGATGGTGACTCGAAGAGACTTGTCGATAGCAAGATCTTGCAAGTCCTCGACCACGACCGATCGCTCCTGCTTGTGGTTCTTGGCGGTCCAGTGGTCGTTGAGATCATCCAAGACCTCAACACCACCATCGATGTTGTTGAGGGCCTTGCCCAAGACACCGGTACGTCCGAGTGCCTTGACAGGATCCATAAGTCTGGAGGTCAAACTAAGAACAAGTCAGTCTCATGGTTATCAATAATCTTCAGAAGTCACTTACATGTTCTCCAACCAGACCAATCTGGGGTACGCGATAGGAATGCCCAAAAGCACAAGCAGATGCTCGACCTGGCCACGGCGGACCTCAGCGTAGAGGCGGTTCATGATCTTCTCCCATGTCTTATCAGAGACAACGTCATGTTCCGTCCTCTCAGTGCGGCAGTCAACAGCGAGAAGTCCGACCTTTGATCCAACAGACATGAACATACTGCGGCCAAGCTCGTTGATGTATGGACCAGGCTCGTTACCAAGGATCCAGCTTGGCTCAGTGTTCTCCATCTCAGTCAAAATGGACTGGTGCTGGAACAGCATGTAGTACTTGTGGGCGACCGCACCCAGACCACTCATGACGGGCGACTTCATATCGTGGTGAGGGTATGAGCCATATCCGTCAAAGATATCGTGGTCATCCCACATGTTGACCATGGGGATTTGTGAGTTCGCGAGGCCGAACAGGCCTTGGGAAAACCACATGCAGTACCGTTCCAGGTAGAAGGTTTCCAGCTCATCTTGCATCTCCTGCGTGAGAGCAGCAGTGTGCTTTTTGACAGGGTTGCGGATGCCGAGCCACTCCTTGAAGAGGCTGCATTCCTTCGACACACAGTCGTTGTAGATCTGGTCACCACCTCCAATCATGAGATGGAAAGGTCGAGATTGATGGTTGTTCAGAACATCGCGCCACATGGGGTCAGGTCCGCTCAGCTCATCGGGCTTCACGCTCGAGCTGAAACCGTTGCAGCTGTGGAACATCATGTTCATCGTCTCGCCCTTGGCAGGAACCCAGAAACCTGTGGCAGGACCACGGTTAATACGGTACGCAATGCGTTGCTGCGTCTCACGCAGCTCGACTTCGATGTTGAAACGCCAGAAAGTGCATCCACGCTCGGCGTGGAGTCTGTAGCCTCTGATATCCTTGAACTTCTGGACCTTCTCGCCATCGGCACCTGCGCGCTTTCTGCGGTTAGAGAACAGACCAGGCAACTCAGCAGGACCATCAGGACCGGCAAGCTCAAGTGGGGTGATGGTTTGCTCGTAGAGTCCTTCATCGGTCTCATCGCGAGAGAGATCCTTGGCCTCCTGAAGATGGTCCACAGGGCGCACATAGAGGGTTTCTCCTTTGCGACCCACCTTGGGGTGACCAGCGATGGGGTCGACAAACTCAGGAGACAGGTCTCCCTTGATGCTGTGAGGAGGTGCTGGCAGCAGGTCGAGACCTTGGACAAAGAGTCGCAGGGTAGGCGCAATGTCGTATGAAGAGTCGGAATCTTGAGTGACAATCATGACAGTACCACGCCACATCTCTCGCTCGGCCAGATTTCCTGCTCTGTTAGGGACCTTCTCACGCTTGATTCCGCAGTATCTCAGAAGAGGACCACACTTCATGTAAAGCGCAGGCTTGAAACGAGTAGGTGCTGGAAACGGGTTAGCAACGTTAGATCCAACAGTAAAAGGCCTGTGTAAAACTTACTCTGCTCATCGTACTCGCCATCGAAAGCCGCAGCGTTTCGTGGCGCAGAGAAGCTCTTCCTCTTATCTTGCTCCCACCAAGCCTTGTCTGTGTCTGGCTCAGCGATGGGAACGGGACCATCCTCAATTTCAAGGTAGGTTCCAGACAGGGTACCAGTTGTTCCCTTCCTCCACTCGTCTAGCCATTGAGGTGGCTGGTAAAGACCATCACCAGGGACCATCTCTTCTGGACGCTTGAAAACCATCCGTGACACGTGGTGTCCTTCAGAGCTTTCGGAGGAAAAGCTGTCTGCTCGCTCAGCTTTTCTGTTGACAGCCGCCTGGTTCTGGGCGAAAGTTGAATCATCCTTTCTGCCACCGCCAAGAAGCCTGGTACCGATGGACATGTTGCGTTGAGGTGGTGGGATGAACTCATCCTCATCGGCATACTGAACTCTGGGGGCAGGATCAGTAACACGTCGCTTGATGCCCTGGTTGTCACCAGGCATAGGGAACTGTTGACGAGTCGGCACATATTCAATTGAGGGTCTTCCTGTGTCTGCGGTCTGTGGAGGGTTAGGAGGAAGTTCCTTCTCCCTAGTGAAACGGTCATTAAGTTCTTGAGTAATCTGTTGAGTATTTTGTCGGGTAGGAAGTTCTTGGGTAGTCTGTCGAGTGGGAAGCTCTTGGGGAATCTGTCGAGTAGGAAGTAGGTCATCTTGGTCGTCATAATAGTAATCATCATCAAACTGGTGGCAGTATTTGGAAATTGGGTGTCCGTGAGGAGCGTGCCTCTCTGATAATACCCTACGAGGGTAGAGGTCAGCTGGGGGTGGCTTCTGGAGCTTGTTACTGCCACTTCTGGTTAAAGAGAAACCACTCTTTTGCGCAGGTGGTTGAACTGGTTGGGCCTGTTGGACTGGTTGGGTCGGTTGGGGCTGTGATCTAGGCGCGGATTGTTCAGGAAGCTGTACGTTATCTCGAGCCGCTCGCTCACGGAAACTCAAGTTGCGCTGTGGGATACCAGAGGCTGGCTCGACAGTTCTGGGAATAGCAGATTGAGGATCCATGTGCCTAGGCGCAGACTCAACTTCCTCTGGCTGGCGCATTGCGCCTGATCCATAAGTCGTATCATCTGGCCTATGCGCAACAGAACTGCGACGGCGATGCGAAGGACCTCTTTGCACAGTGACCTGAGGAGGTAGCTCCTGGTACACAAACGGAGAAGCAGTCTCTTCTCTCGGCGCATTCTGTGGAATGTCTTGGTAGGTGTCTTGTGGAACCTCGCGCTGTGCTTCTCTTTCTCTTTGAGCTTCCTTAGCAAAGTCTCGGGACACATCTCTGTGCGCCGAAGGCTGTCCAGCTGAAAAGAAAGCTCCACCACCTGATGGTCGCCTCTCACTATATGTGACAGAGGGTTTCCGTTCATGGGATTGCTGCACTTGCGGGCCTGTGGGTGCGGGCTGCTTTCCAGCCTTCAATGCCTGTCTGGCTCTGGCGCGTTTCTCGGCGGCTTCGACTCGGGCGCGTTTTTCCTCCTTGGTCATACTATCGAGCGTCAACTCTAGCCTTTGGAGGGGTGATCGGTCGTCTGCGTACGCTTTTTGACGTTTTGATGACCCGCCTGTTGGTCTCCTAGGCAATTGATCGTATGCGCTGGCGCTCGAACCTCGTCTTGAGAAATCTCCTTGGCCTTGATCATATCGCCGACCACCAGTCCTCTGGGAGGACTGCTGGTACTGTTCGTCTTCCATATCGTCGTCTTGTGAGTTAGGGTTGTAAGATGCAGATGCGTCGGGAGCGGTGTGGGTATAAGAAGAACCGCCGTTACCGTATGGATGGCGGTAGCTCACTGGCGGGCCGCGAGGAGCCTCTGGAGAAGTTGGAGGAGGCGACAATGGCTCGTTGGCGTAGTCTTGTTGCTGTCGACTGTTGTAACGAGGCTTGGAAGACTCTCCAGCAGCAATGTCTCGGCGGTAAGAGGATGGTCTGGGAGCTAGACCTTGAGGAGCGAAATTAGAAGCGGTAGGAGAATCATAAGGACTAAAGGTAGATTCAGAAAGAGCTTCAGTGCCCTGAGTTTGTGAAGAAACACGATTGGGATTCGATTTGCGAACTGGGGCAGCGTCGAGCGAAGATCTACGGTCAGCATTATAGGTATAGTCGTCCGACTCAGACCTGCGGCGGGTATGGCCCGCATAACCAGCCTGGGAGACCTTGGGCCCGGGCAATTGGCCCCAGTATGGCGTAGACATTGGAGGCTGACGGTTGGAGGGAACGTGCGGTGTGATTGGACCAACACGTTAGGGGCGAAAAAAAAGACAAGCAAGAAGAGACAAGTTATCGGGCGTTGTATCGCACGTTTGGAGGCGGGTAAAAGATGAGACCTCTTTTTTTGCTTGTGCTTGGGCTTGGAAGCGAACGAAGCTTGGGTTGATCAGGCGCTAGCGAAGGATGGCAGCCCAGCCCAGAAGATGGAGTTCCAGTTAGCTTAGCGGGGCCTTTTTTCTTGTCTAGGGCTCCTGCGAGCTGCCGGGCTAGCCTGATGCTATGCAGGACTGAATTGGAGGTGAAGAGAGAACAAGTGGAAGAAGAGTTTTCTTACGGTCTGCAGGGACCAGAACATCCAAGGGAGAGAAACGCGGGAGGTTGAGAGAAGAGATACGAACGATGACAGCACAGCTGCAGCCCAAAGCTGGAAACTGGTAAACTGGCCTCGTCTGCCTTGAATCCCAAATTGCCGCGGGTATACAGGGATTATGAGCCTCTAAGCTCAATAAGAGCTATTTACACC